ATTTATTCTTGATTTTATAGCTTTATTACAAAATCCATCAATCTGTCAATACTTAAAATCATCTTCTTTCAATACCGTATATCTTTTCTTTTTGTAGACAAATTAAAATAAATTTGAACATGCTTTCTAAAATATAACTCTCCGTAGATTTATCTACATTTTTCTGAGAATGCATGTATATTTGACTGATGATGTACTTACCTTTCCGATTTTTAGCATGCAAGTAATATACAGTATTGCTAAAATGTTTTATGTACTACCTCCAAAGGCATATGGCTAATCTAAATAAAGAATCTCTCTTTTCTGTATTCATTGTTGTACTGTTTTTGTTTTATAAGTTTAGCAGTTGTAAAGAAAAATCAGTGAGTTGTTGTTTAGTCATTAAGTTGTGCCTAACTCTTTGTGACCCCATGGACAAGAGCATGACAGGCCCTCCTGTCTTCCACTGCCTACTGGAGTTTGGTCAAATTCATGTTGGTAGCTTTGATGATACTGTCCAACCATCTCGTCCTCTGTTGTCCCCTTCTCCTCTTGCCTTCACACTTTCCCAACATCAGGGTTTTGTCCAGAGAGTCTTCTCTTCTCATGAGATGGCCAAAGTATTGGAGCCTCAGCTTCAGGATCTGTCCTTCCAGTGAGCACTCAGGGTTGATTTCGCTCAGAATGGATAGGTTCCAGGGGACTCTCCAGAGTCTCCTCTAGCACCACAATTCAAAAACACCAATTCTTCGGCAGTCAGCCTTCTTTATGATCCAGCTGTCACTTCCATACATTGCTACTAGAAAAACCATAGCTTTGACTATGGTGGACCTTTGTCGGCAAGGTGATGTCTCTGCTTTTTAAAATGCTTTTTACGTTTGTCATCACTATCCTCCCAAGAAGCAGGTGTCTTTTAATTTCGTCGCTGTTGTCACCATCTGCAGTGATCATAGAGCCCAAGAAGGTAAAATCTGTCACTGCCTCCATATCTTCCCCTTCAATTTGCCAGGAGGTGATGGGACCAGTGGCCATGATCTTAGTGTTTTTTTTAATGGTGAGCTTCAGACCATTTTTGCACCCTCCTCTTTCATTCTCTTTAATTCCTCCTCACTTTTTGCCATCAGAGTGGTATCATCTGCATATCTGAGGTTGTTGATATTTCTTCTGGCAATCTTAATTCTGGCTTGGGATTCATCCAGTCCAGTCTTTTGCATGATGTATTCTGCATATAAGTTAAATAAGCAGGGAGACAATATACAGCCTTGTCGTACTCCTTTCCCAAATTTGAAACAATCAGTTGTTCCATATCCAGTTCTAGCTGTTGCTTCCTGTCCCACATATACATTTCTGAGGAGATAGATAAGGTGATCAGGTACTCCCATTTCTCTAAGGACTTGCCATAGTTTGCTGTGGTCCACACAGTCAAAGGCTTTTGCGTAGTCAATGAAGCAGAAGGAGATGTTTTTCTGGAACTCTCTGGCTTTCTCCGTAATCCAGCGCATGAAAAAAAACGCAGGGGAGGTGGGGAAAGCGTGAAATTTGAACTTTCAGTTAACTATTGGCCAGTGAAGAGGCTGCTTGTCTGCTACCTCACTCGTCCCAGCGGTTAGAAAGCGTGGATACGGAGAGAGTTTCCAGACTGCCTGGTACTGTACTGTACAGACTGTATTTCTTTTTTGTTTTTGTTTTTTTAATTTTGGATTTTTGACTTTCATTTTTAAAACAGAGAGACTGCCTGTTCTGTGTGAGTACACTGTATTTACTTACTGTACAGTGTTTTTTGCAGCTTGGTGGGAGGGTAGGGCTAGGTGGGCGGTTATGTTTCTGTGCTCTATCTTGCAGTATGGATTTAAAATGTGAAGAGTACAGTAGAAGACTGTAATATTAAATTTAAATTAAATGTGAAAATTAGACTCTACAGTAATTTTTAAATATAACATTTATTTATAGTATTTATTTTTACATTCTGTGGCTTCTAGGGTTTGTGTACTGTGAACTCTCTTTAGTTTTAAAATATGTGTGTTTAAAATGTGACTCCAAAGTCTGTTTTAAAATCACAAAATATTCTGTGAGGGGCTGTGGTGCTTGTTGATGCAGGCAGGCAGGCTTTAAAATGGAGTTTACTGTAGACTCAAGTCTCTCCCCCCCCCAATTGTCTTTTCTCTCTTTTTGTGCTTAATTTTTTCTGGGGGATCTGTGTGCCCCCGTGATTATCTTCTTTCTTTCTTCCCTCTTTTCCCCATTGTTCCCTCCTTCCCTGCCCTTTTTTAACCTAAAAGGTACTTGGCCTTGTTTTAAAAGGTGCTTCCTTTTAAAGGTGTTTTGTTTAAAAGGTGTTCTCTCCCTCCCTTCTTTCCCGCCTTTTTTTAACCTAAAAGTTGCTTGTTTGTTTGTTTGTTCAATCGTTTAGTCGTGTCGGACTCTTCGTGACCCCATGGACGAGAGCACGCCAGGCCCTCCTATATTCCACCGCCTCCCGGAGTTGTGTCAAATTCATGTTGGTTGCTTCGATGACACTGTCCAACCATCTCATCCTCGGTCGTCCCCTTCTCCTCTTGCCTTCACACTTTCCCAACATCAGGGTTTTGTCCAGAGAGTCTTCTCTTCTCATGAGATGGCCAAAGTATTGGAGCCTCAGCTTCAGGATCTGTCCTTCCAATGAGCACTCGGGGTTGATTTCCTTTAGAATTGATAGGTTTGTTCTCTTTGCAGTCCAGGGGATTCTCAAGAGTCTCCTCCAGCACCACAAAAGTTGCTTGGCTTGGTTTAAAAGTGCTTGTTTTTAAATGTGTTCTGTTTAGAAGGTGTTCCCTCCCCATCCTTTCCTGCCCTTTTTTAAACCTAAGTAATCTTAAGTTAAAAGAAGAAAAATTCTCCCTCCAGTGATAGTGTACAAATTAACTGGCTTTGCATTAGTTCCTATGGGAACTAATAATGCTTTACGGCACCTCGACATAAGAACCCAAAACAGCTAGAACGGATTAATTGGTTTTCAGTACATTCCTATGGGAAATTTTGCTTCAACTTATGAAAATTTCGAGGTACAGCTACCGTTCCAATACGGATTAATTTCGTAAGTCAAGGCACCACTGTATACAGAAAAACAACTGAAATGAAAAACAAAAAAAATTGCTTTTGTGGCACCTCAAGGTATTGCTGTACAGTGTATAGCAATAACTTGAGGTGCCACAAAAGCAATATTTTTTGCTTTTCATTTCAGTTGTTTTTCTGTTTCAAAAATTCTGGTCTGGATATGCTTGTATGGACTAACACAGCTACATGTTTGAAAACATAAACAAATGTTTTTTTGCCTGCTCTCTCAGTGATTAATCTTTCCCCAAGCCTGCAGACTGAGGGAAATAATCCCCATTTAAGATGGGTCCTGTGTAGAACATAACGGTAATGTCTGGAATCTTTCTCTCTGCTTTCCCTCAATGTTTGGGGCACAACTGAGTTTTGGGGAGCCCCACAGGGCTTTGTAACATTAAGTGAAAGCGTTGTTTGGTTGACGGCTAAGAAGAGTAAAATGCAACTCATATTTGTTCTGGGGAGAAAAAACTAGTATTTCTGGGGATTCCAGTTCTGTGCCTTGCTGCAGACACATGACATCACAGTGTCCTTTTTAATTGCTATTTCTTGCATTTTTCTCCTAATCAGAAGATTTGGATACGATGGAACAAGAAAAGGAACAGCAGCGCCTCGGTACCCAGGAATTACAGCATGCGGGGGGAACTTCCCCTTGTAGCCATTCAGGTGAGAGATAGAATCACAGATGATTTTGGTTAGGGATAATAATCACAATCCTGTGCCATCAATTCATTTCTGACTTGTGGCGACGCTTTTCACAGTTTTTCAAATAGAGAAAACACAGATGTGATTTACCTTCTCCTTCCTCTAAGGGAGAGCCTTGGGACTGTCCAGTTTGCCCAGGGCCATACAGGCTGGCTGGACTCATGGGGCACAGTGGGGAATTGGACCTAACTCACTGAGCTATCCAGCCAACCGGCATATAGATAAGCAGGCAACAAAATGTTGCAGTGTAGCCTGTATGGGGATCCTATTTCCTCACCCTCCCTTGATTTCCATGTGCCTCATAAAACAGTTAGCATCCATTAGCAAGCTTAGTCCTACCCCAGATGTTTATGGGTTTGCCCCCCCCAACACTTCTATCTCTCTCCTAAATTTTAACAGTACAGTGTGCCTCGCTTAATGATGATAATCCATTCCAGGAAAATTGCCCTTTCCTGCCCTTTTTTAAACCTAAGTTCATCTTAGGTTAAAAGAAGAAAAATTATCCCCTTAGTGGTAGAGTATGGATTAATCGGCTTTGCATTAGTTCCTATGGAAACAAAGCTTCAATGTACGAACGGGGCCTCGACATAAGAACCAAAAAGAGCCGGAATGGATTAATCGGTTTTCAATGCATTCCTATGGGAATTTTTTGCTTCGACTTAACAAAAATTTCGAGTTACAGCCACCGTTCCAATACAGATTAATTTCATAAGTCGAGGCATCACTGTAATGTATTGTACAATAGAAGCTTTTACAAAATAGTGTAAAAGGAAAAAAATGTTATTTGAAGCTGTTCAATAATAAGCAAGTAAAGAAGGGAAACAAATGCCATTTGTTTCATAAGGCTTTAGCCCCATAATTAATAATAAGATTTAAAACAGAGTATGAAATCATGATATTCTGTAGTATTAATGGATGTAATATGCTTATGTATTGTACTGTCCCTATTGTATTGTATTGTCAGTAAATTACATCATTCTAGCCAGTACTGCTCAAAGGAGAGAGAATTAAACTCCAGCCTTCAACTGACCAAACTTTGAGAAGGTCAAGAGGCAAGAAAAAGACCAGAGAAGAGAAAAATATAGTTGATGCCCTTCACCCAGAGCCCATTGTGGAGTTTCCATTTGCATAAAATTGTCTTTCTTGCATGGAAAAGACAAGTCCCTTTTCCAGCCCCAGAAACAGAAGATAAACCAAACACCCCCAGGATTAGTCACAGCAACATTTACCTCTCCTTCTCCATCAGGATCTGCACTGGGCTTAGCTGGTTGCTTTTGTTGCCAGTCCCCAGCTGCCCATAAGTGTTAGCTCCCCAGGCATACAGTAACCCCTCATCTGTTAGTGCTAGCGTGTGCGCATAGCCACAGGCAATCTGCAAGGATGTTCGCAAAGAAAGTAAGAGTTAATATGCTTGAACAAACACAGGAAGTCACCATCTGAAGATGACGCCAGTCGCATTCTGAGTATTAAGTCTAAATAGTATTTTCATACCACATATGGCATGAAAACTTTATTTTTTTAAGTTCTAGTTCATCTTTCTATCCAAAGCAAGACCAAGGCAGTTTACAGGAAGATACATATAGATAAAAATAAGTACAGAGGAAAACATACATAAATTATTATTGTTTGGTACAACGATTGCTTAATAACTGAAAAATAGCCCACAGTGCTTGATTGAAAAACTCATCAAATCCCAGATCTATGTACCTATGGAGGCTTCTGTTACATTGTCAGCTACATTTGCTGATATTTTAATCTACTCAACATATTTTACATATTTTAAACAATCTACACATACTGCAGTGTACAACAGAACTCTCACTTTGTAGATGAGATCCAATACATGCACAAGCCATTGTCTTAGGGTAATTATGTTGGCAATCGAATGCACCACTGAATAAGCAATGGTGCAGCGCTGGAGAACTGAGAACCAGTGGATGCCTGACTATCCTGCAGAAAAGCCTTTCAGCCCACATATCCCTGTCAGAGGCTGCTCCAAAACAACCATGGCCAACATCATACCTACACATCAGACCATGTGCTGCTGCTTCATAACATTTCATACCTTACAAAAGTACTGATAAAGCCAAATTTCTCATTTGTCACTTGTCAAAGAACTGGGCCAGAGAAGAGTTCTAGAGTGCCATATGTCCCCTCTCAAACCTTCTGCCCTGATACCTGAAGCACAGCCAAGCACCCTTATGGCTGTGCACTAGCCCCTAGGAGCAAGCTCAAGCCATCTAATTTCTCCACAACAGGGGATAGCCAGAGACTCCTCAATCCACACATGGGTGTGCAATGCAGGTGGATGGGGAACTCCAGAGGCCAGTTCCTCACCTTAATAACCCAAGAGAAAAAGTATTTTAATTCAATAACAAGGGCAAAAAGGAGACTATTCAGCTTAGAATATTTACTCTTGTTTAGACTTCAGACTCTTTCCTTTCACATGTTCCTAAACATCCCAAGGAAAACCTACAATCCAACTATTAACAAAATAGCAGTTTTGTACCTGAAAACTTTGGTACATGTTACCTCTTGTATAAAATCATGCATAAAAAAATTAGAATTGAAAAACATTTTCAGTCTCGCTATATCTGTTTAAGAAAGTCTGAAAATTTTTTTGCAAGCTACTGCCTATATTTGTTAAACTCCATGGTCTACATCTTATGCTGTTGAGTTTTTAGTTCTTTAGAAGATAACTGATATTAACTTAATGATGATATGAAACACCAGATTGTTAGGATTACACCACTGGTAAGTAGCAGGGTTACTTCACAGAGGGCACATTTGCACCTGAAATCTACCAATATCTAACTACATTGTCAGATTCAACAGTAGCTTGTGTTCTAAGAATGAGTTAAGTTTGTTGTAGCAGCTACGGCAGCTAAAACAAGAATTAGATAATAGGCCTCCTCGGTCAGTGGCTTCTCAGCCCTGTTCAGTTTGTTTGCTCTATAAGTTTTAGTTTTAACTACACAATTTGGAGATCAGGCAGAAGCTCTCAATAAACCAGGTCTTCCAGCAACATATATCACAACATTTTCATACCCACCTGCATTACACATACACCTTGAAGTGCTGCTACTCGGCATGGTGTCAATTGGTTACCATTATTTCCCAAACCTAGTTGCCCATTGCCGTTATAACCCCAGCCATATACCTTGGTTAAAGAAGAAGAGACAATTTTATGTCTACAGAAAGAGCTGTTGTTCAGAAACAATAAAAACTGATTGTTCAGCAGAACTTTAAAAAGCTGAAAATGTGCTGGGGAAAGCAGCACACACACCTAAGCTGGGTACACTTTTACATGATCTTTCATCTTGCATGACTTGTCCTCACGTTCATATGCGTGCTCTACTTTTCAGAGGAGATACTAATCTCTGTATTGCTTTCAAAGTTTTACAAGACAGAAAAAAAATTATTAGAAGACACACTGAACTTCCTCCAAACATTGTTTGCAAAGGTAAGATGAAGGAACTTGAGTTTTGTTTCTCTTTAGTTTCCTGGGGTGCTGGAATGCGGGAAAAGCCCACTAAAGTTTGGACGCCCTGTGAGTCAGAAGGATAGATCAAAACACCTCAGTGATTCCCTTTGTGCCTTGGCTAATGATCAGGGAGGATAATAAATGCTATCACATTTCTTGGAAGAAAGAAATGCAGGGTGACACCATAAAGAGCTCCCCTTTGATCATAAAACTATGTAGCTTTGGTGTAAGACAATGTGAAGAGAGGTGGTGAGGCTGATGCACCTTCCAGCCTGGATCCTTTGGTTCTCTCTTAGACACCACTACATTTAGAATCTCCCCATTTTAAAAACACATCAAAAATAAAATGTCTCTAAAATACCCATGTCCAACTCTGAAACTGTACAGAGTGCAATTTTATCTGGGATTATGTTCGGCAAAGAAGCAAGAAGAAAGGGGGAAAAAGCTAATCTTAAAAGGTTAAGAACTGTTAATTCACACCAATTTTTCTTTTTTTCTGTGTCTCCCTCTCAACCTCACTTTCATTTTACTGTTGTGATTCTCTGTATATCTGCTGCACCTTCCTGTCACAGAGGGTTTTCCATTCGGGTGGACATATGCAGATTTATTTTCTAAGCTTTGTTTGATCTTTCTTGGTGACAAGCAACTGCTGCTGCCTACCCAAAACAAAAAACAGCAGCAAAGACAAGAATGAATTATCTTTCTATCTCAGAACTTATTTAGGGAAGAAGAAGAAAAAGTTGAGTCCCTTTGCCAAATGCATGCCAGTAATGCCATCCCTACCATTAAGGGAAAAAAGATGTTTGTTGGAGCTTGTGGTTAAAGTGCCACAACAACATAGCTGGTCTCTATTATGTGATAAGTGGGCTTCATTCAGAACAGTTCTTGCTACAGTAAATCTGTTATTCTTAAAACGTGCAACACGAGTATTTGTTGTTTGACTCGTCTGGATTAGCATGAACTGTGACTATGAGAGGTCTTTTTTTTGTTCCATTACAACCAGCAAATAATTTTAGACTGTTCCTCCATCCAGACAAAGTACATCTCTGTTAACACCTATTTTGCATCAGGCAGAGTTGTGGCTGACAGACTGTGAGAGGCCATTGTTCTTACACCCATTTTGCTGGCTGCAAATTACACTGCTGAATAACAACCATAAGTGTCTTCCAGCATTTTTATTCAGTCACTTAGAAAGTTACAGTATGCTGTGGTGAGTGACTTTAAAGGAAATGTGACAAGGGAGGGCTGTGACTTTGACTGCAGCAGTTGCACAATTTGTGTAAAGAAGGACTTGTGTCCACATAGCTTTGACAGAGATTGAAATAGAATGCGACAACAAGCAAAAAAGCATGCACAAGCATATAGAAAATGAACAGTTATTTTTTTGATGGTACACACATTTACAAATTGCAATCACCATGCAACTTTGCCCACTGAACAGAGAAAGTTCTTCCAGACTCCTACTGTACAGACAAACGTTTGACTCCATGACAGCATCTTGCGTATCTCTGCCTGAACAATGGGAGTAATATCATTACCACCAGCAGATCGCCCCTCATTCATTAAACAGTCCCTTTTTCAATTTCAGGATGTGCATGAATTACATGCAATGATAAACAGTCACATATACCTCAAAATAAAAAAGGAACTCTTTAATGAGAATCAATTTGCTGCTGGTGGTGAAATCCTTGAGCTAAAGGAGCTAAGGAACAGTATATCAGCCATAATTTAACAGCAAAAAGCACAGTGGTCCTGTTCCAGTACAGGATTTCCCACTTCCCATGCTTGGACTTTGTGCAACGAAAGTGTTAAATAATTGTTTCTGAGGTTCATTTGATAATACAGTGGTACCTCGCTAGACGACAACCTTGTAAAACGACAAATCCACATGACGATGAGGTTTTGCGATTGCTATAGTGATTCGCAAAACAGTCATTCCAGTGGGGGATTTTCGCTGGACGATGATTTGGTCCATGCTTCACGAACTGTTTGTTCGCAAGATGACAATTTTTACAGCTGATCTGTGGCTCCGCAAAATGGCTTCCCTGTGTTTTCGGGACCCATGCTTCGCAGGACAGCCATTTTAACAGCTAATCGGTGTGATGATATAGGTTATGGAAGCTAGAATGTATTTTCTGAATGGGATTTGTAGTCATAGAATTAGCCAGAAGGAATCCATCTTAAGTCTGTGTCATATGTCCTGGGAGACTCTAGATGCTGTTTTCTTCACAGCTAGCCAGTCTGTTATCTAGTAACTAGGAGATAGAAGACCTATTGAAGTCTAAACATTCCAGCAGAGAAAGGTAAACAACATCTGCAGGTCCATGGGAAAGAAAGGCGGAGAAAGACAACTTTTCCTTCTTCCTGATTGGTTGTCAACGGTGGAGAAGAAGAAGGGGGGTTTCCAGCACGAGAGAGAGAATGGAGGATTGCTGAGACAGAGAGAAGAGACTTTTACCTGTTGGATTTTTAAAGAGGACTTTTGCCTGATGGATTTTTAGAGGGACTTTTATGTTTTCTATGGATTTTTGAATGGACTTTGGAATTCCTGAAATTCATTAGGATGTAGTTCTTAAAAGTAGTTTAGAGGGGAGGCATTGCCTTTCCTAATTTTTCTTCGATAGCAATTTTATTGCTTTATTTTTCTAGCTGGAGTTTGCTAGATTTCTAACTGATCAGTTATGGAAATGATTTTGAATGCTATGCTTTTGCCATAAACTGAATTCTTCCAAATCTTTATTTTTCTAATAAAACAATTATACTAAAGAACCTATGGGTAATCTCTTGAACAGACTACCTGCTACCAATACTTAATTTGATTTCTTTTAGGCCACGGAACTAGGCTACCTTGAGTCCAACATTTTCTTGAGTTCTGGGAGAGCTAAATGACTCTGAGACTCATGATTATATTTTGGTTTCTCAATGGTTTTTAATTGGGAATAGACTTGGGAAAGGAGTGTAGTGGGACTGCCTGGATGTGACAAGGACTCATTTCATCCCAAATAGGAGTACACTAAACTCTGGAACCTCTCTATTCCAGCTGTCTGTTTCTTTTAGGAGAACGCGCAAGCTTACAATCGGTGCTCGCAAAATGGCTTCCCTATGGGCGATCTTCACAGGATGACAAGGTATCTTCCCCATTGGAATGCATTAAACAGGTTTCTATGCATTGCAATGGGGAAACGGATTTTGCATGATGATGATTTCGCTAAACAGCAATATCTATGGAACGGATTATCATTGTTATGCGGGGCACCACTGTAATTGAAGGTTCAAGTGCTACATGGTATTCAACTAGTGATGCTCCGCTGCCATTGAATTTTTCAGGAGAAGAGGTTACACTTTCACTTTTTCTTCTTGCTCTTGGCAGTCTCCATTTGGATGCAGTTCCAAAGAATCCACAAATCCTTCAAAGCAAATTAGTGCAAAATACAAACAGAATGCAGAGGGAGGCCAAACCACTGAAAATCCTCTCTCCCTGCACCACTAATGGATGTCATCTGTCATCCTCTATTTTGCTATTCTAAACGTTAAGATAAGATTTTCTCCCTCAAGTGCTCCTGCATGCTGCTCAAAAATGAATTCTATAACTCTAAATATACATATGTGAGAAGAAATATATCCCAAATATATTACATTTTAACCGTGAATATCAGCTACCCTCAAAAAAGAGGCAAAATGGAACTGTTTAAAACTGCAACAGCAATCAGCTTAACATGAATTTGTGGTCTATCCTATGCGTAGCTTATGCTACACTTAAATGTTTTTCCATGTAGAAACAGAGCCAAGTGTAGGAGAGCCATAAAAAGCTTACCTCACCATTGTCTACTATAGCTATAGAGGAGGTCTGGCCACAAGCAATGCTGACCACCACTTTAGTCTGTAAACAATTTGAAACTTTGCGAGGAGTTGGCTGATTCGCTGTTGATCCTGACCCAACTTGTCCACAGTTGTTATAGCCCCAGGCATAGACCTTTAAACAAAGGGAAAAGTCAGAAAGACTCAATGGATCAACCTTCCTTCCAGAAGCAGATTAAACAACTGCCCAAATTTTTATTCACTTTGATATGATAGCAATGGATAAGCATAATTTACAAGAAAGTGCAACACTAACGTTGTAACATCTCCTACTATATATACATTACATTCCCGGCATCCCACTACACAAAGAACAAGCAATAAGGCACAGAGAGAACTATGGACACTATATCAATGGCTATATTCCCTCTCCTAATTTCAGTATACCTCATTATTTTCAGTTGCTGAGGAATACAAAATGGAGGTGCAGTTACACTCATGTCCTGTTTTTGGGCTACCTGTGGTTAGCCAGTTGGTGGACAAAACATTACAGTAAATAATCCAATTTGTGTTATTGTACAAATTAAACAAAAATCAATAAAGCAGAAACTATATTAATTACGAAGAGTCATAGGTATCTGGTCATGGAGGTTAGTACAGTGGTGCCTCGACTTACGCATGTCCCTACTTATGACCATTTTGAGTTATGACCAACTCCAGCCGCAAAATTTTGCCTCAACTTGCGGCTGGAGCTTTGAGTAACAACCCAAAAAGGTAGGGGGGAAAGGCAAGAAATTCAAACCGTTGTAGCTCTTTCGCCCCAATGGTTAAGGAAAGGGATGTAGTGGTGGGCTGAGGTGGTGGCAGTGGCATTACCACACTGATGGTGGGATCCTGGGCCTCGGCGCATGGGCGGAGGGCCTCCCGATCCCGGCTGCCAGAGGAAGGGTCCTCCCACGCCGCCACCTCCTTCCTGGCGGGGCTGCACTCAGTCCTTGGCCCCATGGGGGTGGCTCCACTTTTCCACCGGTGGGCTGCTCCTTAGTACCAGGTGGCTCACTCGCCGGGGTGCCCGCCACCGCCTTCTGCTCTGGCACCGGCAGTTGCTTGCCAGGGTGATCGTGTCAGGCCTTGGTGCTCCTAACCACCCTCGCGGGGGGCGATGCCACCACCGCTGCTGGGTCCAGGTCCTCATCTCAGCGCGGGGGGTGGAGGGGGCCTCGATCCTGGCTCCCAAAGGAAGGGTCCTCCCGTGCCAGCGCCTCCTCCTTCCTGGCGGAGCTGCGCTCAGTCCTTGGTCTCGCGGGGACGGCTCCCCTTCTCCTCCAGCCTTGCCATCTAAGTGCTGAAACAAGCTGCGCGGCTGGGCGAGTGCCGCTGCCACCCAATGGGCTCCTATGGGGACAGGGCGTGGGGCGTCAGCGGAGAGGTCCTGGGAAGCTGGGCCTGGCCCAGGCCACACCCGTTGTACCCACACCCACCCACCCTCCACCACGATCCACCTCCCCAGGTGCTGGAAGGAGAGGCTCCTCCTGGCCAGGGCACTCCAGCCACTGGCCCGGCACCTCAGCTTCCCTACGCTGCTGGCTGGGGCCCAGTGTCAGCTGCCCGCCATGGCTTGGGGAGCTCGGTTAGAGCGAGTGTGATCGGAGGAGGCTTGGAAATGCCTGGTAAGCTAAGGTCCTGCTTTTTGCTTTTTAAAAACTGTTCTGAGTGGGTTTTGCAGGGTGGTTTTGGACTGGGGGGTTATGTTTCTGTGCTGTGTTGTTATTTTTTTGTGATTTTTTAGCAGTCCCAGCATGGGACTTGCTCTGATGTTTATTTTTGGGTTTTGTTTTGTTTTTTTGCAGCCCCAGCACCTTTGGGCTTGCTCTGCTTAATTTTGGACTGTTGTTTGTTTTTTGGAGCCCCAGGGCCTACCTATGGGGTTTGCAGTGTTTTATTTTTATTTTATTTTTGGGGGGGGAGGGTTTGCCAGAATGGATTAATCGCATTCCCATGGGAAATGGTGCTTCGACTTATGGCCATTTCGAGTTACGTCTATCTTCTGGAATGGATTATGGTCCTAAATTAAGGCACCACTGTAGTTCAGTTTCCCACTGTGCCTCACTGATAAGGTCTGGATTCGATGATTCATAGGGTCCCTTTCCAGCTCCTCAGTTCTAAGATTATTAAGATATTTTGTGAAACCATCTTCTAACATTCCTGGCCAACTGATGATCACATATGTTGCCCTAGTCAATCTGACAAGACTTTCAGGAGAACAAGCAGCCACAGATGGGATGATATTCAGAAGGCAGCCTGTGATATCCACCTATCCCTGTCAAAAGGCTCTGTCACTGCTTTTTTCTTCAAACAGAAGTAGGGATGGCATTGCACATTTTAGAATTATGGAATATATGAAATATAGGTAAAATTAAAAACAAATTAAAATGTTATGTAAATTAGATTATTCTTAAAATGATTTTTATTAAGTATAATTTGTTTATCTACAAAAAAACCCAAACAAAATAATGCACCCCTCACCCCAGGGACCATCCATTAATATAATACATAGATATATTTTACAATGATTTTTCCTTCATTTTTTTTAAAAAAAACCTTATCCCTTCCAAAAATACATATATTCTTGACCTGACTTTTGCACTTTTCCTTTATTTAATATGCCATTTATGAAGTCACCTCGTATCTCATTAAATTTATTAATCTTTATCACTCCTTTTTAAAACTTAATTTCAGATGTCAGTTTATCATTAATCAGAATATTCCAGATTTCATTATATCATTCATGTGGTTCAAAAATCCAGTTCCTCTTCTATTTTCTTGCTATAAGTACTCAAGCAGGTGTTAGCATATTTATAATCATCTTTTTAAAAAGTTATTTATGTCATGGTTAGCTATTAATAACAATGCTGTTATTGCTGATGCTTCAATGTTGACTCCCAATATTTCTTCAAATTCTTTACAAACATCCCTCCAAATCCTTTGTATTAGTTCACATTCCCACCATAAGTGTAAATATGTACTTAATTCTTTATTTCATCTCCAACACATCTTGGAAAATTTAATCTTTTTTAAAAAATTATCGGTGTTAAATACCATTGTTTTATAACCATTCTCTTCTATTCTAACTGATGGTTTTAAAGACCCTTTTTCCAAAATCTGCCTCACATATTATTTAACCCTCCTAACTGATGTGCCTCTTCTGTAAATATTACCAGTTCTACCCCCGCTTTTTCTTTTGCCTCGTTCTCGATATTCTTTATGATATGTTCACACTTTGTCAATTGCCTATCCTTTAGTTTAATTATTTCTCCTATTTTCAACCATTGTTCAAGATGGCGACCTGATAGCAGGAGGCTGTGTTTTTCCTCCTCCTGGGATGGCTTTTTCTTTTTGGTCTCTTTCCTTTTGCTTTCTTTGTTTATTCTTTGTTTCTTGCCTCCCTCCTTTGATGCTTTTTATTCTCTTATCTCCACTACAACAGCAACAAACATTAGAACTACAATTGTTGCTGCTTCCACCACTGTCACCGGAGAGTAAGAACAACAACACCATCACAGCTGCTGCCGTTGAGGAAACAGGCAGGCAGGTTGGAATACAGTGAGCTGGACTTCTCTGAGGGGGAAAGAAAAGGGAAGGAAGAAAAAGGACTCATTGAGGAGGTGTGGGACTGTTTGGCTGCCCGACCCTCTCCCCACCCTTTCCTCTGCTGTCCACCTGCTCCTGAGCTTCTGTATGCTGTCCCTGGTCTTGTGGTTACCTGGGCTCAATGTACTGTCTGTCTCGGTGGTCTTCTGTGTCATCCTGCAGGTTTTTTCCATTGAGCTTGCAGCTTTGCTTGGGCGAGCTTCCTGGCTCGAGCAACCTGGCTGGGCGGTGGTGCTCCACCAAGGTTGTTTTAACACCCACTGCGTTTGGGGTGTCTCAAGGCCCGCTTCCCGATCTCCACTGCCACCACTGCAAGGTACAGACCAAGCTCTACTGGTGGCTGGGAGTTGTACTTCATCTGGGAGTGTGTGCTGGCCTTACATTGCCACCGAGGCCCTGCGCTCCTCAGCGAATGTACTTCATCTGGGAGCGTGTGCTGGCCTTACATTGCCAACGAGGCCCTGAGCTCCTCAGCGAGGAGGACCACCATCTGGCACCTAATGTCTGTATGTGCTGCAGTGAATGTGGACGCACTGGGATTGTGATTATTCCGTCTGCCAAGCGCTCCCACCGGACACCTACATGCTTGTGCTCGGTCAGCCGCGACAACAAGGTGGCCCTGAAGATCTGGAAGTCAAGCGAACTCAACATGGGCCTTGCTTTTGGCCACGATGATTCTAAGTAGCCGTTGGCCTATTTCAAGGTTTCTTGCACCTATGACAATTATGACTGGGTCCGGACCTTGCAGTACCTAACACCTAAGCATGCTTTGGGAGTGGTTTGGGCAGGGGGAGAAATTGTGTGTGTGTGATTTTGTGTTTTTTTTTCTTTCTTTCTCCGTTCCTTTATTTTTTTCCCTTTATTTACTTTTTCTTTTTCTGGGTGTGACGGGGGAGTGACTTCTTGTTTTTATTCCCTTTCTTTTTAAAGTTGTAATTTTTAAGTTGTTTATTTGATTATTGTTTAATTTAAATGTGTATTTATATTTTATGGTTTGGATTAATTTTGTTAACCTTGTTACCACTGTATTGTTTACTTTTATTAATTTGGTACATTTTTTGGTCTTTTCTTTTTCTTTAACATGGAGTGGAAGGCTAGCGGGGGTCCTCTGAACATCTGAGTGATTATGGGCAGAAGGAGGTATGGCGATGGCACAGTTCCTACTCATTTCAGAAGAACGGTAAACAGATGTTTGAAGGCTGTTCACTGTTCTGGCACTGTGACCAACTGTCAATCTTGAGGTAGTCAGATCAGTCATCCCTTCACTCTAAATCTGGTGCTGTTGAATGCCAGGTCCGTACGCAACAAATTCCAGATTATCCAGGACCTCATTCTGGAGGAGGATGCAGACCTGGCATGTATAACCAAAACTTGGTTGGGTGGGCAAGGGGGTGTTCCCTTGACTCTTGCCTGTCCTCCCGGTTATGCAGTCCAGCACCAGGGTAGACTGGAGAGAAGAGGGGAGTAGCCATTGTTTATAGAAACACTCTGGAGGTTGTTAGGCGCTCTATGGTGGTGAAGCCA